AATTAATGAAATTTACAGAATACATTGATAATTTATATCCCTCTCATTCTATAAAATTTTATAGAATAATTTAAAATTGACAGATTTATTGTTAAAACAAAAATGATAACAGTTCGATTGGAACACAGTGTATATTAACATCTCAGTTCATTATATCTATCCGATTATAGTATTTTAGAAATTAAGGAAGGATCTTAAAAACTTCTATTAAAATTTAAGGTTTCAGCTATGTAGTGATGATATTTTTATGCCAAATCAAAGCCTAGTCAGTCAGTATTTTCCCATTTGTTATTATTAAATGTCTTTATAAGTAGTTTACTAAACTGTGAATAATTTTAGAATTATTTTAAAATAATTTTGAACGCACAATTTTTTTGACAAATAAATGTGCATAATATAATTTTTATAGCAAGAGGTATACTAGATATTTATCAAAATTAATTTAGGTAAGTTACATATAAATATACACCTTTTTTGATTTTGGAAAAAAAAGTTAGTCCAATATTAAAAGTTAAGGGGTGGCCCAATGGTCGTTTAAAACTAGTCTCCTTGTTATACTCTGATTCAAATTTCAAGCGAATAAAACCTATAGATAATTTTGTGATACTATTACTTAGACTTCTATAAAGGCTCCGTTTATATTATAGTTGCCAATTCTATTAAATTTTTAATTGGTCAATTTTTTTTATTAGAGTAAAATGATAAATTTTAGACTATATTAATTGAGGAATAATATAGTAAGTATAACCAATAAGTAAAACTCTAACCTGACTAAACCGATAAAATTGATCTCTGGTAGTCTCAAATCTGAGCGAACTATTAAGAGCCATTAAAAGTAGAGGATTTATCCATCTTACAGAACTGAACCAAATGGAAAGACCGTGAAGAGTAAGTTGCACCTTTTCACTGTGGAAATCTAAATTGGTTAAAATTGCCATAAAACTGAATACTAGTATTGGAATGTAACATACAGAGTATACTCCTATCAACAAATATACTACTAGTATAGCTTTATCAGTGTCACTGTTGGATGTCGGCGTGTGCATTAAGCACCTCTTCGAAGATTTAAGGAAGTGACTGATGTAGCAATACAATAGGATGGAGACAGTGTACGGAAATATTATGCCTATTTTGATATTTTGATTTTAAGAGGTTTGTTGAAATGTGGAAAAAATAAATGTAAAATTTTATTTTTATAAATACTTAAAAAGAAGTCTCAAAAATATTATAGTTTTAGTTATTTTATAGATATTTCATTGCAATCATTGTCTACATGAGAAAGGGTGGTAGGAGTCAAATGATATAAACATTTTTGAAGGGGGTTAGAGGGTATGAATTGGAAGATAGACTAGGGTTATAAAGTAAGAATAAACACCATAGATTTAATGGAATAATTACTGTATAAAAAGATATTGATTTATTAATTGATATTTATTTCTATTTTAAATGGTTTATTAAATTTTAGGTCGTTAATTCGCAGATAACGTTTTAGTGCAGCGTGAAGTTAAGCTATACATGCTCATGGATAATAGCGGATAGTAACAATTAGTTTATTATCACCATGTATATATTTGCCATTCCTAGATAAAATTATGATGCCGGAAAGGGTTTTAAACAGGATTTTATTATAAAGATTTTATGAGGTGTATCAAGAGTATCCGAATATCGCGATTGTAAGCAACAAAACATTTTTAGTGTGGGAGGGTTCTGTATTGTAACCAATCTTATCGTGTAGACGCAGATTGCAATATAAATTAAAATAATGTTCTTCTTCTAAAGATAAAATTCAACCTGAGGTCATAAGCCAAATAGAATTCGCCCTCAAGTTCCAACTGCTCAGCCTGCAATATTGGGTAAAAGAAGTTGCGTTGAATATCTTGACAATTAGAAAGAATATGGGTAGGAAAAATACAGCCAGAATTAATATTAAAATACTGCATTTAATATGTTTTTTATCAGATTTGTATTTCAAAGGCATCACTATGACCCAAAATCTATCAATAGCTATGGCCAATATACTAAAAGAACTCAAATTGACAAAAACTCCTTTGAAGTACCAAAGAATCGTCACTTCTGTGCACATAACATAATCGAACGAAGTATTATATTTCCTATTAAATTGTGAATAGAATCCTATGTGAATCTGAGTCGGCATGCAAATTAGGGCGAACATAATATCGGCGAAGGCTCTGAGCCAAAAACAGTATCGGACTGAAGAAGCAAAATGCCGTTTAGCAACAATTAGAATTTTATTTTTATTATCAGTTATTTCATTTGAGGTCTTAGTCCTATGTAGACTGCCTATATTAGATGATTTTCTCAAATGAATTAAGAGAATATGAAACCAATTTAGGATATACTTATCCCACTGGGTCCAAAAATAAGTGAAATTTATTAGCAGTATCAAAACTATCTGGATAATGTATAAAATGACGAATATTTTTTTGTGATTTTGCCCATTGTCTAGTTCTAAGATATTTTTGATAGGAAATATGGTAGATAAAACTTTATCTGTGGTCATCTATTTAAATTTACGTTTAAGAGAAGAGAAAAAAAATTGCGATTTAATTACATGTGTATAATTTTTTAAAAGATTTTAAAAAAATATTAATGAATAATGATGAAATTCACATTTTTAGAAAAAAATAAATTTATACAAGTCTACAACTAAAAGGGGTAAAAGAGAAATGAGAATAAATATATTTTTACTTCTAAAAATAAAAACATCAATAATTAATAGGTGAAATCATTAAATTTTAATAAAAATGGGACAAATTTAAAATTAAAGTTAGATTTGATAATATAAAAATTTACTACAATTTAAACGAAAATCCTTTATCGATTTTTTTTCCCCCCAATTGATCCTGCAAATCTTTTACCTTTAAAAAATGAATCAAACGCCCAGCCTTTGGTGGCTAAAAACTAGAATTATTTTATATTATCGTTTTTAATTTTAATAAAGCTATTTATAAAAATTATTTATTTTTTTTATTGTTCCTAGTTATTTTTGATGTACCATTCATGGAATAGGACCAGTGTTGTTATATGGCTTGAATTGAGCCGATTTCTTAAAATGGCAAACTCGATATTTTAGCCCAAAAAAATGTAACCCTAAGATAGATATCCATGCCTGCATGCCAATGGGGCCGGGTCTATCAAAATGAAATATATTAAAACAAATGAGAATTTTCAATTTTAAATGATCACATGGTTTAATATATTAAAAATTATATAAATTAAAAAAATAAAATAAATTGGTTAAAATTGTTTAAATGGATTAGCTCTATTAAATATTTATAAGGAGATCATTCTAGATAAAAATCCGATTATAGATGAATATGATTATAATATGTTGTTAGTCATAAAAGTTTTATTAATTATATAATCAATTCTTAGTCATAATATTTATATTACACTATTTTTAATAAAAAATTTTATATTTTTATTTTGATATATAAAAACATTTGTATCAATTAGAATTGTTAAATTATATTTTTTAAAATCGTTATTTGCTATATTTCATTGTAATTATATTTCTTTAAAATACAGTTGTTTACATAAATTTTTTAATATAACAATCTGTATAAAATTTATTTATTTAGAAAAATATTTTATTGTATATTACCATTAAAATAAATACATAGATAAAGGGATGTTACTCATATAATAAAGTATTTTAATAATAAATAAAATCTATAATAAAATTCTCTGTAAAATTTTGTTAAAATTATTTTTAACATAGAATCAGATATATTGAGTGATCATAAAAATGGGAGTTTTTTTTGGGTAGGGGGGGGAGTCGATTTTTTTTCTTTCTACGCCGAATGGATTGAATTAATTTAGAATTGAGCACTAAACATTTGCAAAATTTTCAGAATAATACTTCCAATCGCTTATTAATCAATTTGGCCAAAATTTTATTGCTAATACATTTTTCATTTATACTTGCCACTATAGTGGTTAGACACTAATAAAGCACAAAATATTGGCAAATTTTTAGAATTAGTATATCCAATTGTTCAGCCAACTTTAACAAAGATGATTATAAAGATAATTAATGAAAAATTAATATTGGAGCCGGCCTAAGGTCGATGGGGTTTGGAGGCTTTTCGGCTTACACCCCCCCCCCCCCCCACCTTTCCGAATTAATCTTAGTTAGGCCACTGCTGTATGCCTCCATAAATCTCAAGGCCTGCATTATATTTTTCTGAATAAAATATTGAGAAATCGATTCAAATCGAGCCGTTTAACATCAGTAAATAGGACCATGGTCATAAAATATATGCTTTCATGAACCTGTATAAGAACTTGTATTACTGTTATTATTTACCAAAACCAAATCTGAACAGTTAAAAAAAAAATTTATCCTCCGAACCCCAAACCTTTATAAGGTTCGGCCAACCAGTTTTGACACCTTTAATATTCTTTAATGTTTAAAAATATATATCAATCAATTTGATTGGAAAGCGTCAGTTGCCATTTTTATATAGCTTTGTTTTACCTAGTGTATTCTGATGGTGCTTTTCTAAAAAAAGTATAAAAATTTTTACCAACAATAAAATTTATTTTTTCCCCCTTTATAGATAAATGAACTGAAGGAGAATCTGTTTTCTTGGGGAAAATAATTTTAAAATAATTATTTATATTGTAGTTTTTTTTTAAAAAAATAAATAAATATATACCTGTTTATTTGTTATAATATATTTATAAATTATTTATATTTGTATGTTGTAGATAAATAACGAAAATGAAATAAAAGTTAGTTGTTTTATATTATAAGAAAGTGGATTGAACTTCTATAAAGAAAAAGGCACCTTGTTTCTTGCAAAATATTTTTAAAAATATATCTACTTTAATTTCTCAAAATTGAATAAAAATTTAAAATCTATAAAAATGGTGAAGAAAAAAAAATCTCATTGATAAAAAGCCTTTGAAATACCAAAGAAAATAGCTATTTCCCTACACAAAACTTTCTCTAATAAGTTATTATATTTTCTATTATGTCGGCAACAAAATGCTACGTGAAACTGAATTGGAAGGTAAATGAGGGTTGGCATGCCATCGCGGCAAGCTCTGAAGAAATTGTAACCGCCAGGAAACATAAAATGTCTTTTAGCAAAGATCATATTTTCACTTTCATTCAATTTTTTTTTTCCATATTTATTTATTTTTTTTAATTTAAAAAGAAAATTAATATATTATGTCTATATAATATTATTTAATTTTTAGATGTGAGATTTGGGTTATATATTTCTTTCGAATAATTAGAATATGATTAACAAAATTTGACTGTGATGCCTGTTGAGAATCTTTATCGATTTTTTTTTCTCTTAATTAAATATTGATGAAGAGTAATCGCTCTGATTAAATTATTCATCATAATAGCCAGTTTAAAATTTTGCAATCAGGCTCGCCCATAGGCCGGCCTAAATAAAAAAAAATTAATATTATTTTGGACCAATGTCGTTTCGTTTTTGACCCATCGCGGTAGATATATTTTTCAATCTTGAGCCTAAAATTTAGTATTACATATAGGGCAAGTCCAGATCTATTAATAAAAAAAAACGATATAAAAACAATAGCCCGTACTTTATATTTTTATTAATTTTACTATTGTAGAGAGGCCCTTTGAAAAATTCCTGATAGCGAAAAATATTATAGGTTAAAATAATTTCTTATATATCTAAATTTTAATTTCTTTAAACAAAGGATTGAGTATATTTCGGATTTTTTTTGTAATAAATTTACAGCTATTATCTTTCTCATCTTTCTTTCCTTCCTTCTTTCTGTGTTTTTTTTTCTTCAATATTTCGTGAAAAAATTCCAATTAATCGAATTTGGTCATATTTTTGACCATTTCCTTTATTCTGTTAATTGTGTTCTCTATTCTTCTATCATATCTTAATAAAATAAAAATTCTTAGGTTTGTTATGCAAGAACATTGAACGCAAAAGATAATTGTGTTTAAAATTATATAAGTTGCAATTTATTTGATATATATATGGAAGATATTTATTGTTCATTTTCTGATCACTTTTTAAAAACAAAACAATAACAAATTGGGATATTTACAATTATAATAATAAAAAGAAATGACAATTGTGACAAACACTTACACTTTATTATTGTATTTGTCGAGAGTGTTAATAAATAAAATAAGAGAGGTTGAATAACAGAAATTGTTAACACTATTTTAGCTGAATTGTTATTCTTAATAGAGATGGGTATTCGAGAAATTGTTGTTTAATGAAGATAAGGTTTATTTTATTTTTTAGCCACAACATTTACAATAGATTATTAAAATGAGTATATAAGGCCTCGATAATCTTTATATAACTTCATCATAAAAAATTAATTTTATAATAATCATTTTAAAGTCTAATATTTTCTTGTAACTATGATCTTCTTAAATTGGTTTATTGGATTTCAAGTATGGCAATTTTTTTTTATATAATGTGTTTAAAGATATATAGAACTTTGATTATTTTAATTAGTATAGTGAAAACATATCTATATTATTTATCTAACCATTAAAAACAGATTTTATTGGTCTTTTACTCGAGCCTGATTCCCGATTTAACCGGTGAAGTTTTTACCAATTCAAAGTCGTTTTCTGTGCTTCCAATAGTTTTGGCCAGAGGTGGACACGGAGGCTCCAGGGGAGGACATGGTGGCTCCAGGGGAGGTCATGGTGGTTTTAGAGGGAGCCATGGTGGATACAGAGGCGGACATATTGGTTCAGGAAGGAGTTATGGTGGTTACAGAGGAGGGCATAGAGGATTTGGAGGATACAATAGTGGTAATCGTTATAATAGACATCGTTATGGAGGCTATAACAACAACTATTACCGTGGTAACTACAACAATGGGTATTATGGAAGTTCCTCACCTTATTATGGAGGCGGCTATGGTTACGGAAGTATTTCACCTTATTATGGGAGCGGATATGGTTATGGAAACGTTTACAACAATTATTATCCAAGTGATTATTCCTCATCTTCTTACTACGATAATCCATACGCCACTCTGGGTTCTTCTTACTATGGTACCGACGATTATACCGATAATGCGGATTGCTTGTATAACAGCATCAATTGTTACGGTGGTTCGGGAATTTACAACTCTTACCCATTCCTTAGAATATGAGATGGCGTCATCAAAAATTACGAAAAACGATTTAGAGAGATTATTTTTAACATAATTTGCGCATTAAATAATGATTTAATATATATATATATTGATCCTGAGTTACATAATTATAATAAATCAATAATATGCATAATAGTTTTTATATGAATAGTCTAGAAATAAAGTTATATTGGTGTATTTTAGGCTATTTCTTTGAATTTAATTTAAAACAATTGTATAGTTATCTGCAAGCATAAGGATTTTAATTATTAAAATTTTGAGTTTTATAAAAAAAATTAAGCCTATTCAAGCAAAACTTTTGTAAAGGTTTCAGTGTAGATTTAAATAATAGTAAAAAAAATTTTAGATTTATAACAAAAAAAACAATTTAAACAAAATGAATAATATAATGTTAACCATGAATCCTTTCTAAATCCTAACTAGTTTTATTAGTATATAGCATGTTATTATAATAGGCATCTATGTAGCCATAGGGGTTGACTGAAAATAATTTTATTAGAAGCTACTATCTTCATAATTCTTATGATTAAGTTAAGATAATTGAGTTGTTTTATATTTGTATAATTATATGCTTTTAATAGGTATAATTATCAAACATGATATAAAAAATCATTAAACAATAACTTTATAATTCATATTAATGATAAATTGTCTAAAAAAAATAGCATGCCAGGTATTGATTGTCCAAAAATTGATTTTCATCCAAAATGTTTTAACTAAAAAAACTATTATAAATATGGAATGTTAGGTATTTAATTCTTCTTCTTCTCCGTTTAATGGCGATTTCCAGGTTTCCTCTGATTCAATCATTAAGAAATTTCAAGGTTTTTATAGGATGCCTTTCCTGACATCAACCTCTTTAGGTGGTTTTTACACCCCGTCGAGTAGACTGTGATCCTATTATAGTTTTAGAGCTCCATTAGCACCAAAAGACGCTGCCATCTAAACATAATATATCTATTCCCTCCATAAACCTTTTTTGTTAGCTCATATTCAAAAAAATGTTTACCCCTTTATGGAAAAATTATTAGAGTTTAGATCAGTTTTATTTGAACTAGGTTTAATAATATTCGTTTCTATGTGTTATTAAGCAATTTGAATTATAATATTTATAAAAATATGCCAATCCATATCCTTTAAAAGTTAGTTTATTCTAGTTGATGATAATTAGTTATGCATATCACTACGGCCCGGCTCATTCAATGGGAAGTGATCCTGAGAATTTGTTCTTTAATTTGCGAGCATAGAGAAATATTATAACTATATTATATGTATTTGTTATCAACTTTAATAATAAGGGTATATAAAAATACTTTAATGATTAGAGCGTCAGGTCAGATCATGTCTTATTTAGTTTATAACTCACAAGAGTTATTTTAGAATCCCGCGAAAAGCAATTGTTAATGGGGTTGAAAGTTTTTTTTAAAAAAAATCGCAAAACGCTAAAAAAAATGATAAGGGTATATTTATAATTTGGAAAAAATATTTAGATTTATAAATTATAAAGTTAATTAAAGACACGAAGTTGTATGTGTTGAAACTTTTTATAACATGCATTATACTTTCGTTGAATTTTGTATATCATTATAATTGCAATTTCTTTGGCATTAGAAAATGTAAGAAATAGTTTTGAAAAAAAGAAAATCCTTAAGAATTTTAATTTTGCTAGTTCTTTATACACACAATTTCATATTTATAATTTAATTCTCAAAAATACTGTGTTAAACAGGGTATAGACATATGGCCAGTCAAAACATATCAGGATTTAACTGTTCCCCCCCCCTCCTCGTCAAAAAATAATTTAAGTGAAAACTTGCCTAATTCATACTATTTTAAAAGTTTTGGTCCAAATTTTATAAGTTAAAGATTGCGCTACATCATCGATATTGTTCTATTAAAACCCAATTTTTTTTTACAAAAAAAATAAAATCATGGCCAGTCAACACATTTATACTCCATCTCTAACTTCCTAATAATAAAATATCAACACATTTAAAAAATAAAACTTCCTAATAATAAAATATCAATCAACACATTTAAAAAATAGTAATTCGAAATCAAGATCATTTTTTTGTGGGGGAAAAAAAAATTAACCAAAACCCTGTATTCTGTTTTGAATAGACCCTGCCTTCGACTTAAATTTTTTTTCTCGAAAGCGAGGAGGCTATTTTGAGAGAAAATTACAGACTCGAACTTCCAGAATACGACAGATAAAAGTTATTCTTAGAGTCCTAAAAATAATGGAATTTATGTCTTGTATTATTCTGTTAGGGGTACCAAAAATCAATTTAGCTAAATTGTTGATCACTTTTAACCAGCTCCTATTTTATTTTACAATTGTGATTCTTTATTGAAAAAATCTAATTTGGGATATATTTTTTTTTGTGGAAGAAATTATAGTCGAAGGAATCAATTTAAAACCTTAAACCAGTATAATACATATATAAATATTTGTATCGCTACTTTTTTGATAAGACATCTTAAGAAATTATTTCTATAACCTTTTACATTTCACATTTTTTCTCAGTAAAATATAATATTTAAAATAATTTCATGAATAGTTTCTAAGCATTAACACTGTTTTGAAAATTTGTTATGAAATTTCTGTCGAGTGGGGAACTAATATTTTTATACGAGAGAAATGATTATTTATTATGATAGCAATATGACATTCTTCAATTTTTAAGTACCAAATAATAGATGTTTTTTTTAAAATTTTGCATGTAGAAAACAAGAATTGTTTGTTTACTAAAAAAAGAAAAAATATATAAATATATTTATAAAATACATATAGGAGGGTGGAAGTTTCTTAGGAAAAATCATTCTTAAATATTTATAAACAAGTGTATAGACAAATTAACGAGTTCCCAGAATATTAAGAGTTGTTTATATTTAGTTTAAGAAAAGCAGAATTTTTTTTTTTAAATTTATAAAATATTTTATTTTTTTCCTATTTTTTTTAATCATCGAAATTAAACATGAAAATTTTAAATTAGATTTTGGGATTACAGGTAATAAATTCTTAATATAGTGCATATTATATATTTATTAAGAGACCAATTTGCCCCGGTCCAAAATTATTTTATTTAAAAAAATTTTTTTGCTCACAATAACCCGATCCCATTTTTTATATTCGATTTCCCCATTTATACTCCTGGAGATTGGGGAAGAAATTAAATTCGGGGATATCGGTTATTAAATTTCTACTATTTGCAGGTTTGATATTTATGGTAGCCTTTTTTTTAGATTAAAAACTGAAATACTCATATATTTTATAAGTGACACTTTAATATTTTTACCTACACAAATTTATATAAACTTAAAAACAAAATATTTTTCAGATTTCGCTGATCGGTTTATCATGGATTTACACCTATATCACCGTAAGTAATGACGTCAAACTACTAAAAACGTTCATCTCCTTGTCATATAAAAATGACGCGGTGCTAAACCAATTCCGGTGTGGTGAGATCAAAAGCGTCATCAATCACAATTTAGATTCATCGCCGTTAGGATTCATTTTCCCAGGAGTCTCCGCTTGGAGAGGACACGGGGGTTACAGAGGTCGTCGTAGAACTTACAAAAGAAGATATCATAGCTACCGAAGACGTCCTAGGTATCACGGATATAGGAGATATGGGCACCATGGTGGCTATAGAAGGTACCAGAACTACTACCACCGACCAAACTCTTACCCCGGTGGCTATGGCTTCGGCAATTATTATAATTCTCCGGGATATGGGACCGGTTATGGCTCGAGTTACGGATATCCTCAAGGTTCTTATTACAATCCTTATGGTTCAGATGGGTATGGAGGATTATTGATTTAGCTAAATGAATGTTTCGAGGGAAATTCCATCTGGAACAAATATCGCCCTAGAAAATTAGGAAGAAGAACATTAATCTTGATTCGTCTTTTTAAAATTTGTATGTTAATATTAGATTATATATTTTATTAGTTTTCCATTACAATAATATCTAATCTCCCTTATTTTAAAATGTATGATTTAAGAAATAAAAATACATTTTTTAAAAGATAATTCTATCTTAAATTAATTTGTGGGTAACCTTATTATTTATTTATGAAAAATATCAGAAAAATTAGTATATAACACGCACCCACCCGATGATTTTTGAATTAATTTTGAAGAATATAATAATTTTCTAACAGTTAAATCAAAAAACTATAGTCCCGTGCAGGGTTTAAAATTTTTTTTTAAATACGCGGGTCAGGCCGGCTATAAAAATTAGTAAATATAATATATTTTAAATAATATCCGAGGGGGGGGCAAATGGTACCTACAGGTCTCAGTTTAATAAAAACATTTTTACAATTTTTTATAGTCATAGATTCTTTATTATAAAATTGTTTCTTTATATATAGTCTTTTATAATTATGTCATTTAACTTCTACTAATATGCAATTACATTGATCACCTTAAGATAATATAAAATGTAAGAAATATATAATTCAAATAGCGTAACCTTTTAATATATATATAAACATTCAAATATAACGCAATTCACACAATATTGTTATATTCGCTTTCGGTATTCAAGTTGCTTATTCCTCATCGTTAGAAAACTTAGTAGAGCTATAATATTTTTATTCCACCTCAATCTTTCGCAAAAGCTTAGATCAGATGAAACAAAAATAGATATCCCCTCATATAACTTTTAGGGTGTTTCAACTTAATTATATATATATATATATATATCATAGAACTGCAGAGATACCATATGTCAGATCCGGATTTAATATTTTAAGGACTGACCAGGACATTTAAAAAAAAAACCTTTTCAGGCACGGTGCAGCACTTGTATTTTAAAAAAATTATTTAGAGATCTCTGATCAGTGGCGTAGACAAGGAAGGAGGGGGGTTTGAACCCCAATTATTTTTTTTTAAATGATTTTTTTAAAAATAAAAAACAACTATTTTTATGTTTTTATTTTATTATAAATAATAATAGATCTATTTGATTATTTATATATTTTTTTTAAAAATAAATTATATGATGTTGTATTTGACGCACTGAAATTTTATACATCAAGCAAGGGAAAAGATTCAGCAGATGCTGAGATAGACTATTAGCCACAATTTTTAATATCAATTCATGGTGTTTATTTTTTATTTAATTATTACATATGATTTTAGCAAAATGCTACAAAAAATTGATTTGGATATAAGGGACGTTTTGAATAGAGCAAAAGATATTGTGAAATATTAACAAATATCAGAGAATTGTGGAAGAAATATTTCATGAAATATATGAGAAAATAAAAATAGGTTGCTAATATGTTTGGGATTGAAATTTTTAAACCTAGAGTAGTAGACAATTCAATCGCTCAAATATTGATTGCATAAAATAACCATTTTTATTCCCCTTATTGATACATTTTTATTTCTATTAAAGGAAATATTTATTGGTCATAATTTTATTTTTAAAAAGCTTTTTTTTTCCTTTGGGTTGAGTCTAAACTCTTGATTACACGAGAGGATATTAAGAATATCTCAGAATTTGTGTTGTTACTCAATATTTTAGCCAGAAAAATATAGCCTAAGCCTAGAAATTTCGATAACATATGTCTAGACCTTTGTTCCTTATATGAGTAAAATCTTCAGGCTTGAGTATTATTTTTCTGGAGAAAATAAGCAGTTTAACAACACTACTAAAAGTTTTATGCTGATGATTAAATAGGCTCCTAAAATAAGTTACTTTGAGATGTCTGATTTTGGTATAAAAATCTTGACACAATAGAGTATTCATTGAATCCAAGAAATGCTCTGCGAGCCCCTTCCATGTGTTTGCACTTTAGATTCCCTTCCTAATTTCAAAACATTATTAATTATTTTAGCTACCATATCAATTAGTATCTGCACTAATGAAAGGTTTTTTTTTCAACTTTTAAAAGGTTAAAAACCTATTTAAGAAATACCACCAGTGAAAAATGTCCTATTAAATATTTATAAGAAGATTATTCTAGAAATTTAATTCTAGATGAATTAAAGAGAAAGTAGACCTCTCTTTATAAATTAAATCAAATAATTGGAATATTATTGTTTTAATATACAATATTTATAATAAATTTTTTCGTAAATTGAATTCTTAGTTATAACATTTATATATATTTTTTTTTCCCGGTCATGGGTTACTTTATTTGAATATTTACTGATATGATATTGTATTGACTCTTAAAATTTATGCAATTAATACTATTTTAATCAAAGTATTGTCTATTATTTATATTTTCATAATATCGTCATATTTTTTTAAATACCATTATTCAGGGATCCAAACCGAACCTGGACCGTTAAAAACCGGTATTTTTTATAGAACCTGAACTGAACCGCTAAAATGCCTCTGAACCGGTTCGAGTCTCATGATTTTATGCTTATAAAATAATATGTAAGTTATTATTAGATTTCAATTATATTCGAATTATTTTAAAGATTAACATCAATCACATTTGATTGATAAGTGACGGTCATAATTTTTATAAATTTTAGCATTTTTTAATATTTTAAGCTTATGTTATAATGCTTAAAGAAATTAAATCCAAAATATTATTATAAATGACACATCAAATCTGATATCATATTGGCAGTGCCGGCTACCCAAGTTAGTGTGCAAAGATGTTTCAACAATTAAATTTATGCTATCTCCTTATAGATGTAATTTGAGTGAGACTTTGAAAATATATTAATTATGCGGCTTAATAAAAAAAATTTAAGTAAAAAAAGGAAAATATTGTTCATATTAAAATTAATAAGTGATATATATATAAATTAAATATTATTTTATAATGTGCAATTAATAAAAATGAAGGTTTTATATGTGTTTTTTAAATTAATGATAAAATAAAAAAATATTTTCCCTATACATAATTCGAATGTAGGTTTGAATACAAAAGTGTTCAAACCGGTTTTTAGAGGTTCGAACAGAACCGATATTTTAATTTTTACGAACCGAACCTGAATCGTTATTTTTATCCGAACCTGAATCCGAACCGATATTCGTTTCGGTTTAAATCCCTGCCATAATTCGCATATAATTATGTTTTATGTATAAGTTACATTGAGTTTTTATACAAAAAAATTTTAAATTATAATCTGTATATCTACATTTTGAAATTTATTTTAAATAATTAAAATAAATATATGATTAAATAAAGGAATTTTATTTATGCTAAAGTATTTTTATATAATAAATAAAATCTATAAAATTTTATATGCAAATATTAAAAATAATGTTAACATAATCTAAGATATAAGCAATTGAGAGTGTTCATAGAAAATGGAAAGTTTGGGTGATGGGGGCATTTAAGACCCACCATTCTGGCTACGCCACTGTCTCTGATATATATGATAAGATCAGTCTGAACCATATTCTCATCCAAATCTTTTATGAGTATAAATTTTTCTAGATATATATGCATATATCTTTATAAAGATTACAAATATTTTTTTGTTAACACATGATATATTATTTATTTTGCATTAATAAATAAATATTTTTATTGCCTGAGTCTGAGCTGGGTGTATTTTTATAAATAAAAATATTATAATATAAATACAATATCGATTTTTTTTGGAGGAATAATGATTAAATGAATATATTGATTGAGTATTAATTATAATAAATATTATTTGTTTTTATGATTGATTAAAACTGGAATGTTCTATTCAACATTTCACTGATAGATAAAAAAAAATAGAAATCAAATTAGATTAGATTCTCTATAAAACTAAGTATTTTACGTCGGTCGTATTGAGAGCAATTTTAATATTTGTTTCAATATTTTAAAAACTATATAAAATTTAATATGAATATATTTTTGAATAATAATATTTTTAAAAAAGTAAGAAGAGTATTATAAATTATCAAACGGTATAAATGTATTTTTTAAAAAAATTTAAAAATCATTTTACTATATTGAATTATTGTTTATATATGGAGAAATTATATGACATAATTAATTATTTTTTAAAAATAAAATCAAAGTTTGAAAAAAATTCAAAAATCTCTGTTCTTTATTCAATAATCTTTGATCAAATTATTTTGAAGATTTTTTTTCAAACTCTGATATATATTAAAATTATTTAAACTATTTTAGCACCAAAAAAATAAATTATAAATTTTGAAGATAATTTGCATTTTTGAGTCATTTTTTCAAAAAAAAAAAATTGGGAGTTTACAATAATTTTAAAAGGGTTTCATGAATCATGATACACATAAATCGTAACCGAGCAGAGTATCCGCGATTACATTGGCTAACGACAACAGGACGAAAGGCTTGTTTTTGGCTATCGTGAGGGAATTCGGTAGGGAGTCCGTTATCCAAAAACGGCTAAACCTTAATACGGGACCATTTCGAGAGTCGAAATCTTCATCACCCCCCATTTTATCGGGCGAAGTGTGGTTTTCTATAATCCCCTGTCGTGAATTCGCGCTTGAGCTTGCGTTTTCGCTCGAATCCTGTTCGGAATTAGTGTAGGCCGGAGTAAAGAGCTTCCAGGACTCGTTAGGGAAAACCGCATGGGTTACGTACGCGCTAACATCCTTGGCTCCGTTACTTATAAGAAGCTACATTTTTTGTTTCATTTGGATATTATATATATATCATTTTTTTAAATCCAAATTTTTCGATTTTTAGCCCTCGTGGCATAGAATATCAACTATTAAAATACCTATCGAACTTTTATAGGCAAAATAATTATATTGTAAATACCAGAATCATGGGGAAGGGGGTATCAAAACCAATATAATTTCATTTATTTTTTATATTTTGAATGTGTCCATTCAATAATATTTTTTATTTTGAAATATCCTAGTACTTGTCGTAGAAGGGTGTGGAGGGGAGGGAGGTAGCTAATTTGAATTTTTAGAAAAATGTTGTACCTTAGATCATTTACACATCTCATTTTACCGGAATCAAATACCAGTGTGTAATAGAATGAGTATGCGTGTACCATGTGAATTTCAGACAATTTTGCCTTGTTAGAATACGAATAAAGATTCGATTCAAACAAAATGAATATTGGAAGAATTATTTGAATAATTAGTTTCATGCGAATAATTTGATCGAATGAAATAATAACAAATATGTTTTCTAATAAAATTTAATCACTGGTCATTTTCTTATCGACAACCAATCAACCTGACATGTGATGTGATTAAATAGGTATACATGAACTGCTTGTGTCTGTCTCAGTTAATACTACGTGTCTTATAACAAAAAAATAAAGACACAATAAGATAAAACTCTATGCCCTAAAAAATTGGTTTGCCATTATAATTTAAATTAATAAGCCTTTTAAATTTCGTTTAATAACTTTATCGCATCAGATCATTATATCAACTGCTTGTGTCTGTCTCAGTTAATATTACGTGTCTTATAATTAAAAAAAGAAGCAGTAAGATAAAACTCTATGCCCTAAAAAATTGGCTTGCCATTATAATTTAAATTAATAAGCATTTTAAATTTCGTTTAATAACTTTATCGCCAGATAATTATATTTATTTATTTTTTTCAATGTTTTTTAAATAAAAAATCTTAAATATATTTATAACATAAATTATTTTATAATTATGTTTAAACAAAGAATTATTCGAATCGAATACAAATTATTAGACTATTCGATTCGTTTTGGATTAATTTATATTTTTTTTTTCATTATAAATTTTAAGAAAATCATAAAAATTTTATGGACAATTATCTGGAATTCATGTGGTGAATATACTGTCAAAATAAATACAATTTTGTTATTTTTTAGTATAAATTATTATTTAAAATACTTTTATAAAAATAAAATTATTCGCGAATCTTGTATATATAAAGTATATTTTTATTTTTCGCGTGAATAAGATTACGTTTATTGCACCATTCGATTGATATTCGTTTTTGAATTAGAAGACCTAATAAATAAATATATTTTCTGGCCAAATTTTCTCAATTATATTTTTGAAAGTTTTTTTTTTAAAAAAACGTAATTGTTTTATTCAATTTGTTTAATGTATATTTTTTTTCTAATGGATCTTAATAAATTTTTATAAACCTTAGCGCATTCTAGGAGTGTACCTCCGGTCATAACTAAGTCGTCAATTATAACGCAATGCTTTCCCACAGGATCACCTAAAATTATAGGAGAGGAATTAATATAATCGAAAATTATATTATTCAGAGACCTGCAGAGGTAACCGACCCGGCCTAGATTTTTTTTCAAAAATTATTTTCGGCCCGGCCCGGGTTTTATATTTTCAGGTCCGGCCCGGTTTTTTTTAAAAAAAATTTCCAAACCCGACCCGGCTAGGTATATTCAAAAAAAATAAAATACGGCCCGGCCTGCAGCCCCGGCTTAGGTTGGCCTGTAGGTCTCTGATATTATTATAACGATAAATATATCTTCACACACCCCCCCCCCCCCATTAACCGAACCTTCTTTGATCGTGACTCTCCGCACCGAATCTCCGAACCTCACCTTAATACATGTAACGAACATGTCGTCCGCGAATTGAGAAGAAGGAAAACACAGATGAAATCTACGGTTATTTATCGAAAATTGGATAAGAAGGTGTTATATTATAAAAAAATAAAATGTTCTGAAACAAGTTACTTTTAATTTTAAAAAAGTAACTTGCAAATGTAACAAGTTATTTATATTATTTTGCAATAATAATAATTTTTTTATTTAAAAATCTAATATAAAATTACGATTTAAATATATAGGCATCATATTACATCTTTTAAGATATCGAAATTGCGGAATTTGATATACATATGCAAATCCCAAGGGCATATATCAAAATTCTGCGCCTGTCATTTTCGAATTCTTGATCAAAGATAATTATGATTCGAAATAAAATATTAATCTGGGACACGATACACCATTTTTAGCGGATACGGATACTAACCCAGCATTCGTATGATACCGGCCGACATAGTCGGAACCGGTTACCAGCAAAAAATTTTTTTTATTACAATTGGACGTTATCGGAAACAAAGAATATTATAATATAACATTAATAATAAACGACAAAAAAATAATATTAATTTTATTAATTTACGAAAATAATAATCTTTTTTTTTTAAAAAAAATGTAATAATCTTGTCTTGGGCTCAACTAAATTCGTTTTAATCAAACAGATTTGTTATTTAATGTTATCGAATGTAATGTGTCCAATGTAACTTTTAAATTTAATAACCAATTTTGGTCAATGTTAAACGGTTCGATTTTTTTTTTAACCAAAAAGAATTTTACGCAGCATGTATGGAGATACAGATGGCAGAAAGGGTATGGACATATTAACAAAATCTCGAGGCTTACGTTAAATTTATTTATTTGTTTTACCCAAAAATATTGGGTTAGCCATCTTTAAAAAATCGGGCCGTTTAAACAACAATAGAAGTATACGTTACTTGATTCTCAATTAATGCAACGTGGCAGGGAGGGAGAGATAAGGGGGGGTTAATGTTTTTAATGCTGTTTCCAAAACTTTCAAAAAAAAATAATTAAATTGACAAACTTTCGAAACTTTCATGATTTAATAAACAATTTTCGAAATAAAAGATTTTGGATAATAGCCTTAATAAAAAAAGGCTACAAAACAACAGGAGGAGATGGGTGGGGGGGGGGGGATAAAAAATGACGGACGTAAATAATTTTAAAAAAATTAGTTTGGCACTCTTAGGACCTACGAATTATTTAGGTTATACTAAATTCATAACTAATAGAGTCAAGCTAAGACAAGGTATTATAGAAAGATGATAAAAACTAAAATAAATAAAAATATATTTTATCAATGGAAATCTGGCCGAATTACTCGTTTAAAGTAATCGCGTATCGCTCAGGCAATGCGACACTGCTTCGTTGAGTGTCTTTCAAAAGCAAGCAAATGATATAATGGTCAAGAAATGCTTTATATCGCTAATGGATTATAAATTCGACCCATTTATTTGCTCACTTTTGCAAAATAGTCTGCTATTGCGATCGCGTAGCTCGACTCGCATCGCGTGAGCCTTATGCGCTTACAATAAACGAGCCCTGATTCCGGTACATTTCGATTTATAGGAATGGCCTTATGGTTATATACATCACTTTTGGTTGCAAAATAATAATTCCCCCCCCCCCTTTAAAAAAAATGATGCCTAGATAGATCATGTGATTGCAAATAAATTAAACCTTTTGTAAGCTCCTTCATCCGGAAAAACAATGCATAAATTATCTATCCCTTTAATTGCCCTGAGTAAGAGTGGTATGGCGGTTTCGAGTCTTTAAATCGAAAAGTTCACAAAAAATAAATAATCAATTATCTCCTTTAATTTTGGTAAAATAATAATCGTGATTTTCGGATTATCAATAACTATCACAGGGGAAACGGGTAACCAATAGAGTTTAAATATCGTCTGCGTGATGAAGTTTATTATAAATATAAAAAGGGTAGATATTTTATGATCCCAGGAGGAATGGCTGTCAAACTTATTTATTTCATTTAATTGAAAAATGAGTTCCAAGTGTGGATGTGTGAACTCTGAATGATTATCATGAATTCTCAATATTGATAGTTATATAATAATATACAGAGTTGTTAAATGATACTTTGTGGATATAAATACAGAGATAAATGTGTCATCTGAAAACGTATCTTAACAGCGTTCACGTTGTTCTTGAACAGAAACTCTTACACCATATAAATAAATAATAAAAATGTCAACAACTCTATTTTTATTGTTTTTTCAAACAAATTCTTAATTAAAACAAGCATTTAATCAAATAAATTTTTAAAATTAAACTTATAATTTATCTATTTAAAAAAAGTTAGAGGAATATCTAAAAAATAATATAAAAAATTCGAAATAAATTTATTTTCTTAAAATAATTTTGTGCAGCAATGCTAATATTTTAATAATTAGGAAAAGAAATAATATTTAATGAATATTTATGTTTTAATATTTATATATGTTTTAATATTTATATATTTTAATATAATATTTACTTAAATCATATGCTCATATGAGATAAAATGAATATTGCATTTAAATATTTTTAAAATAAAAAATGTTAAAGTATATCAAAATGTATTTTAAAGGTATTAGAAACAGATACCTCTAAAGTAGGATTTAGATACCAAACTTTTTATAAAAATATATCTAGATACATATAGAGATACAACATTGTATCTAGACATTAACAACTCTGATAATATATATAGTTTATGAATATTTTAGTAATTACATACCTAGGAATAACTTTATCAGAAAAATAGAATCTTTCTTGAAGAGCATGAATGTCATAAATGATAATCTTGGCTGGGCCTCTAGATGTCAAAGGTATTGCAGAAACTAGAATTGCTAAAGTCTAAACAAATAATATAATTACTAAAATAGATTTTGATATTTATAGAAGTTATAAATAAATTTTATTAATTAGTAAAATATAGATTATTATAATTCTTAGATTTAATCACTTTAGCTGTAGCAATTTGTCCCTCTGTATCAACCCTTTCCATTGTGGCAGTTGGAAAATAGGGTAAAATCAAAGTAAAAGACCTCACTAAATATTTTGGCAGGGTATAAATTATAGATAGTTGTTCAAAAATAACTTCAGGTGAGTGGAAACTTGCCAAAAATATTACTGATATATTTATTTTAAAAAAACTGGCATATGATAATATCAAATACTATCTTTTCCAGCCACACTTTTCACATTTTCAATAAACAAATTAGGCCAATTATCAGGAAATTTTTTCCAGTTTATAATATTCTTGTATTCAATACTTCGTATTGGTGTGCCACATCCACCTCTTTGGGATTCATCCTTCTATATTCTAAGTATTATAAAATAAAAAATTGTAAAAACCAAATGCAAAATTTTCATGTTTGTATCACAATCTTTTATTATATTTAGAGCCATTTCTTTCATTGTTGGATGGGATAATAGCCATACTTTAGTATTTCCTTCTGATAAATTCATTTTTAAAACATATGGGTGAAAATATGTTTAATGCAATACTTTTTATGCTAAACCATAACCAACTTGATAAAATATTTAGCAGTTTTAAAAATAAAACTTGATTATCAAATTAAATATTAACAATATATTAAGAAACTCTATATATTATATTTTAAATATTAATAAATATTTGATTGATTATTTGATTGATTATTTAATTTATTGTTTATATTATTGATTTTTATTATGTTTATTTTGCAATACTACTACTGCATCATTGTTATATTGTTTCAAATTTTTTATATCCTTAAACTAGCTTTAACTATTTTTTTGTTACCTCTTATACGCAATATAGATAGTTTGTTTTAAATTTATTTTGCCTTAAATTTAAAATTATTTTTAATTACTTAACTAACGTATATCATATTAGGAGACAGGAAATATATATAAACAGAAAATTTTCCTGTTAAAATGAGATTTAAAATCTAAAATTCTTATATTATTATTAAATGATTATATATATTATTATGTATATCTTGATATAATATGTTCATTTAATATATAAATGTTTATTTTTACTTTATGAGGCTATGTACGTGATAGATAATTAGTATTTTTTTGTTATACAAAAAAAGTAAAATTACAAAAAGGATTATTATTATTATTTGTATCAAATAAATAAAAACACGATACTTTAAATCCCTACACACTATTCTGAAATAAATCCTTACATATAAAATAAAGTTTATCTTCAAATTTTACCACCCAAGTTCAGCTACAATATGGTGCTGTCATAATTTTATATATAATTATTTAACCTTATCAGTTTTTGGTAAAGAAAATATGCCTTTGAGTCACAAGATATTGTTATGTTTAAATGTTTTATTTGACTAAAATGTATTATTTTTTATTTTACGATAAAAAAAAATCCCAGATCAAACCAATTGTGATAATTTTTTTTTGTTTAAACGCTTTGTTCTCGTAATAATTTAAATAAATAATTTCTTTTTTCTGGTCAAGACGGCGATATCCAAGGGGGGCAATATTAAATTTTACTTTGGTCTATTATTCATTTTCATTTTATTTTGAAAAGTTTAGTTATTGTCGAAGAGATTTATTTAAGTGTAACCACTCTTGTTTTATATTATTATTTTTAACGACTGATTTTGAAGATGATATAAAGAAATTTTAATGTGTTAAATATGTCCACCATTAAAATAAATATACCCCCCAAGCCACGGATTGTTCAGTGGTGCGGCTCCAGCCGTTCCTTGCGAAAACTGCTTTGCTATGATTAACAGTGATAATAAATGTAGCCCCAAAAACCACTGATTGCCCATTGGTGCACCTTGTGATCCTCAGTTTTTGTTATGACAAAAAGTGAAAATAATTATACATAACTCCCAAAACATGGGATTGCTCATTGGTACAGCTCCAGTCATTCCTTGCTAATTCGCCCTTTCCATTTTTTCGGTATTTTAGATTCTAGCACGATGGTTAAAGACCAAAAAAACCGATTCCCCATGGCCCGATCCCAGAAATATCATAGTCATTGAAAATTTTTCTACCACATCGTTCGTAGTGCTCGCATATTGGGTCCCAAAATCAGATATTAATTGATATTTTCTTTAAAATATAAAAAAAAGGGCCAATTAAGTGAAATGGAGATATTCCTAATCAGTGGCTTAGTTAAAATTTAAAAACACTTTTAATAACATTAGCAACACTTCCCATAACTACTTACACCAATGAGCGATCATTTTCGACATTGACTCGAATTAAAAATTATTTAAGGGCAACCTCGACCAGGTGAGAACCAATGGATAGGTTCTTCTGAATATATAGAGATCTTAACTTAATCCTACCCCAAATGAGGTCATAAAGGAAATGGCTAAAGGGCCACTAAGAATTGTTAAATATATAAAATATAAAATTTTTAAACATAGTTTTTATCTTTTTTTAATCAAAAGCAATCGAAATATTTTTTAGAATTTATTATTATAAATTTGTAGTTTACATAAAATTATATTTTGTTATTTATAAATACTATTAGTATTATAATATAAATTGCTGATTATAAATGATATAAATTGCTAAATGATATATTTTATAATCAGTAGTATTATATAACACATTTAAATTATAGATTAAAATATTATAAGTGTTATATATAATAAAATAAATGTTAAAAAAATTTATATATATAACAAAACAAATTTTATATAAACTATTGTAAAATAATTTATAAATAACAAAATATAATTTTATGTAAACTAAACAAATTTATATTAATAAGTGCTTATTTGAAAAAATATTTCGATTGCTTTTGATTAGAAAAAACGATAAATACTATGTTTAAAAATTTTATATTTTATATATTTAACTTAATTCTTAGTGGCCCTTTAGCCATTTCCTCTATGACCTCATTTGGGGTAGGATTAAGTTAAGATCTCTATATATTCAGAAGAACCAATCCATTGGTTCTCACCTGGCCGAGGTTGCCCTTAAATAATTTTTAATTCTAGTCAATGTCGAAAATGATCGCTCATTGGTGTAAGTAGTTATGGGAAGTGTTGCTAATGTTATTAAAAGTGTTTTTAAATTTTAACTAAGCCACTGATTAGGAATATCTCCATTTCACTTAATTGGCCCTTTTTTTTATATTATAAAGAAAATATCAATTAATATCTGATTTTGGGACCCAATATGCGAGCACTACGAACGATGGGGATAATTTATAATTAAGGCAATATAATATTTAAAGCAATATAATATTTAAAGCAATATAATATTTAAAGCAATATAATATTTATATTTTAATTAATCGCTTTTTATTTGTAAATTGATTCTATAAAAGTATAATAAATTGAAAAAAGTTATGTCGAAATGTGTTATTTTAATTAAAATTAGTGTTGTTAATCAATTTGAGCCGATATGGCTAACTCAATATATTAGCCAGAAAATTATGCAAGCCTGAAAATTTTGCCCATGGATGATACAAAGGTTCAGACATTATTCGCGAAATCTCTAGGCTTGAGCAATATTTTTGGCTAAAATATTGAGTTAGCTGTTTATAAAAATCGGCTCAAATTGAGCCGTTAAACAACACTAATTAGGATGATCAATAATTCTATGAATTTTATATTATAAGAAAAACAAATATGATTTTTAAGATAAACCCGGACCCCCTCTAAGGAAAATTCCTAGCTACGCCACTGTTCCTAATAAATAAAATTATAAATAAAATGCAAATTTTAAAGAAAATTCAAGCGGATATTTTTTAAAACAACTTAAAAATAGTGTACCAAAAATAGTAAATAGAATGGTATACTTTAAGACACATTTATAACGTTCAAATAATTTAAAACAACAATATATTTCCCATCATGGAAAATATGATTCGCAAAAATTTTTGTTTCTTCATAAAAACATTTTTATTGATAATTTTTTTCCCATAAAACTGATAACCCCTCTCCCCCCGCCCCCCCTCACACCCATTTAATTTTTATTTTATAAAATCATTTCACAAATTCTTTTTTATAAAAAGTGCATGAAAATAAAATCCTAAAATTCTAACGAATAAATAAATATTATAGCCACATTTAATTTTTTTTTGATCAAATTTTCTTTATAAAATGAATTTTATTTTAAATATTACAAATATAAAATAATATTGGGAAGGCTCAAAGAATTTTAAGAATTAAGTCCAGTATATTGCAGTAGAAATTTCATATTGTCAAATCAAATAGTTGAAGACTTGATTTTATTTTTGAATTTATCAAAAATTATGAAGAGGATATTTTTATGGTATTTTCTATATTATATCATTCTTTGCTTCACTCATACATTTAAATTTTTACAAGATATGACAACATGAGAGAAATGTAATAAAATTAGCTGAATCACTTCATGTAAATAAACTTTTCTCGAGCTATTTAATGAGACGTTCATGACATTTTATACCTTTAATATATATTTTTTATTTGATTTATTTATTTAATAATTCAAAAAATTTCAAATTATTAATAAATTCTAAACTAATTTTATATACAATATTCTAAAAAACAAATTTTTCATTTTACTCATTTTATGCCTTTTCCTCTAATCTTCATAATGCCCTGTTCTAGCTCCATGAAGTTACCTACGAAATTTCTAGCTATATCTCGGGAATGAATGTATTAAATGTATTGGTCCAAGAAACATTACTGGATAAAAAACTAATTTGCGTTAATTAATACTAATTTCAAAAACTTGATGAGAAAATTCTTGGCTAATTGAGGAAGGAAGGAAAGAAAGAAGAGAATGAAAGAAAGAAAATGTGGTGTTGTAACAATTCTGTATCTTTTTTTGACTAAATATTAAAAAGAAAAAGAAAACGCTGTTTGATCGAAAAAACGTTATTATTTTTCACCTAGGTATATACATGCCAATGGAAACCTTCATTAAAATGCATTAATTAACCGTATTAATTATAATGGTCATTGAGACGATAATATATCATATACATAAAAAAATTAATAATGTATTTTGTAATTTTAAATGAAGCACGTTACATAAATTATCCATATAGTTATATTATATACCTACATTTTATAATTTAATTATTTTCGTCACAATTTTTCCCTCGCCAAGCGGTTTTGCAGCGGCATTTATAACGGGAAGAATAAATCCTAATTTGCCAATAATTTTTATCATTTAAACTGGTAATATATTGTCTCAATTGTTCTTCCGTCAAATGTCGATTATCATAGAAATGATCTAAGATACATTTACCATTACCGTTACAATTTATATCGCTACAACCTAAATTGTAAAAATGATGTATTTATTATACTTAAAATCTTAGGCTTACTTTTAGCGTATTTAATGATATTCATTGCTGTAGGTCCTATTACAGACTTAACGTATTTATTAACTAATGAACAATTTCCGATGTTGTCTGAGGAATCCCAGATGATCTTCGAGAAAAAAAATAGATATTTATATTGACATAACTAAATATTGGTTTAACTGTAAAGTGTCAACAGCAATATCATTTATATCGTTTTCTAAATAAATATAATAATCGAGAATAATTAGAGGAAATATTAGTTTTTAAATTAAGATAAAATAATAGATTCTGTAAATACCATTCCATCGGTTCCCATATCGAACGCCATTCTCATAAGTATTCCATACTCGTTGGGAGAGACGAAAGACGGAAATTTTTCATGGGTGTAATGATATCGGGAATATGGGAAAACCGGAATTTCTCCCTTTTGTCTGTTATTAGACACTTTTAAAGCCTCGTGCATTGCTAATAAATAATTGATCAATATAACATACATATAGCAAAAAATAAAATAAACTTGTCGATCCGAATTTTCGCAACTTTTCTGAGCTATGTATATAGTTTTATTTTGACACATTGTGTCCATAATATCATAGAGCCCCCTCCCCTATAAAAATTTTTAATTTAAAGTAGATACAATTTTCCTTTGCCTCTATAAAAAACCTATAAGTATCAATTTTTTATATTTGTTTAATTGCTTCATTTTACCGAAACAACTACCAAGAGAGGAGTTCTAGTGTGTAAAGGAGATAAGATTATAATTGCCATACAATCCAGTTATTTATTTGAAGCTTTCGCCTGGGAGAACTTGGCAGACATCATTTATATGAAAACACAATATTTAAAGGTAAGAGACCGGGTGCTTCTCTCCCATTTTTTAAAAAATATCTTTAATAGCCACCTATTCCACCCCTTTAAGATATATAGAGATGAAATTTTTCCTACCCCCCCCCCCCCCCCGTTCCTGCTAAAATTTTATGCAGCGGATGTAATTGTGAGATGGGATTATACGATTGGCCCAGTGTATTGAGAGTGATACTAACAAGTGTTTTCCAAACAATCATTGACGTGATCCAGCAATTTGGTGAAATGGTTTATAAGATAATATTGGGAATTTTGTTATTGAGAATCTTAGGGAATGGAGGAGGAGGTATTAGAAATTATCGTTTTTTCTTCTTCTAAGAGAAGAAGTTCAATAGTAGAGCTGAGGATTTCGAGACGTTCATATCTTATTTAGCGTTAAATAATTGGGTTGGAATATCTACAATCCTTAAAATCAACTGAAATATTCGAAAAACATCCCTATCTTTTAATCCTAGGTTGCCGGGATTTATATAAGATGGGATGGGAGAAGGGATTTATTATGGTTAAATTTTAAAAAAAAATGAAACATAAAAGATTGAAAATTGCATTATTTAAAAAAAAAATAACCTTTAAGATTGTACAACAATCGTTCCGTCATGTCAGGTAATGATAGGCGATTAGGATACACACTCGGGTAAAGCGCGCTACTGGCTTCATAAAGCCATGATAATTCTCTAGTTTGATTTGTTATAATTTTATCCTCGTTAGGAGAATTCCATTTTCTTGAAAATATATAAATATTGGAGTTAAATATGGCACACAGGGTTTAATAAAAATATTGAGAAATGTGAAAATATTTTTTCAAAAAAAATGCGATGTTTTTTTAGAATGAATAAAGAATTCTTTCAAATTATTAGAAAGTTTCCACTATTAAATCAATTACCTGGATCCTCTGGGATAGCTGTAGAAGCCCCATTTTGCCTTGGGTCTGAGCTGAGTGAGAAGCTCCAAGGTTCTCTCGAAAAATTGCCGAGTCGCTGAATTATATTCTTCCTTTACCAAATTTTTATTTATCCCAATGGAGACATTTTTATCCTTCCCCTTTTCATTGTGATACTTAAGAATTTCTTCCTAACAAAAAACAATAATTAAAAAAAATTATGACTTATCAATAAGGAATGGGATCTTTTTTTTTAATGGAAGAGATTTAACATCAGAATTCGGAAACTATACCTATATTTGAATTAAGCACATTATTATAAACATGCAGGTTATATAAAAGTAAGTGAGGGAGGGGTGGCTTTGAAAAAAAATAAGCTTTATTTTCTAAAATAAACTCATTTGGAAGCATATGATATTGATTTTTTATTTATTTACCCTGTATATATTATATGGGTGCCATTGAATATCTTCCCATCTGGTTCTGTATCTCTGAATATCCAAAACTCCAAAACCCTAAAATTCGATATGAAGTTTTTGTTGAAAAAAATAAATTCAAATATTAGTTAAAAGTGTCGCGTGCTATTTTTGTAATAGAGTTTGGCTATTTTTTTTTTTTTAAAAAAACATAAATTATATATAATTTTAAATTTATGAATGTTATAAAATATTATATATATAATTTATTTTTTAAAGATAGAAGTCTTAAAAATAAGATACGGGGTTTAATGATTGTTACATTTAACTATTTTAAAAAAAAGGAGTTAATATTTTTCTAAACAGGTCTAAAGTCTTCAAAATCAATAAGCCATTGACGATTTTACCCCCATCAAAAATTTTAATCCCCCTTTCCATACTCTCCACTAAATATTACCTATCTACGTCCTCCCTAACAAATCAAGGGAAAGGTAATCCAAATCATTAAGAAAAAATAGGCATTCCAAATCAAAACTTCCCACCTACATTTTATTAAATAGACAGCAATGTCATCATAATCTTGACCCTTCCTTCGTATCAGAAGTCCCTGCACAGGACTGGTATTGTACCAGCATTCTATTTATTTTTGGTAACATCAGAAGCCTCTTTTTAATCCTCCAGGAAAAGACGGAGAGATAAAAAGAATACAAACCTTTATTTCGATTAAGCATAATATTTTATTTAATAAATGATGGGAAGAAAAAGTGGAAATGTTTACAATGAGATTTTTGAAGAGTATTTTAGGGAAAGAACCAAAGAGTTTAATCAATTATGACAAAAAAAGTCATGTTTTTTTTAAAATTTAGTCATTCTCAAGGAAATGTTTTATACCGAAATTACTGCTTAGACAAATTTCAACTGAAATATAAATAGCTTTTAAAAAAAAAATTAAAATGTGTTATTATATAGAAGAATTATATCCTACCTTGAAATTGACATCTGGAATAATCTCTTCCACCGATTTTCTCACTCTTTCTAAATGAACACTCAAATTGGCCCTTTGCGGAATGCCGCCATTTATCATCTTTTCGCTATGACCGCCGACAGGCAATATCATAGGCCATTCGCCAAATTTTGTATCGTAAAATATATTGATCAAAGAACCGAACCATCTGTCTTCCGGATTAGCTTCTATACCGTATTTGTGCAGATTCAAAGAGATATCGAAGGTGTCCTTACATATTTGTGTCGGAGAGTTCCATATTATTCTAAATATTTTATTTTCCGAGAATTGGGGTAGACATAATTCACCCAATCCTACGTTCCAAGCTGTTAAAAAAATTATAGGTAAAATATTTATAAATTTAAGGTTCATTCTGAAATCTCGAATAAGAAAAGATTAAATTAATTTCTACATTTTTTTTTTGGAGATATATTTAAAAAAATAAACTAAATATAGAAGGAATTGTTTTTGTCTTAGGAGGCCTTGAAGAATTGTTAAAATCGGGTCAAGTATTTAAAAAAATCCCTGAAATTTCAATCTATTAAGATATAATAATATATTTTATTTATATAAAAATATCAATATAACCTTATTTTAAAGGATTAAATCAATTTTAGCAAATGTTGATTTAGAGCGCTAATCTTTATTATAAAACACCTGATTTGATTTCTTTCATAATATTCTTTTTTTAAAAAAAAACAAGTAATTTAATCATCCTTATTATACTAATCATAACTATTTTTTTGCTTATTATTTGAAAATAATTTATTACAATTTTTAGATTTTTTTTAAAACCATTATTTAATCTTCCAGGAGAATTTAATATGAATATTCCTTATGTTAAATCTGATTTCTGATTGATTATTTAAAAACAATTTTTTTTTATAACCATTCTATTTTCCTAAGCAACATTAAGTGGTATCTTTACATAGAAATTCCAATTTTTAACAGGTTGTAACATATCTGAGTGCGGAACAGATGTCTAAAGTTAAACTATCTTCACTTTGTTAAACATTTAGGCCACTTTTTACCCAGTTAATATTTTTCGTATTTGTCATTCACATTTCAGGAATCTGACTTGCATTTTTATGGGTATAACTGTGTCAATGGTAGTGTTACTAAGCTGCTGGACTTAGCCAATTTTTAAATAAGATTCTACCCAAAATAATATAATGAATGAACTCGAGATTTCGTTAATAGATGGCCAAACCAATCTTGCCACCTATAAGCAAAATTCTCAAGTTGCATAATATTTTTTGGGAAAATTAGCCGTTTTTAAAAAATCACCGTTTAACAAGACTAGTCAGTAGATGCGATGGTAATTGTCAAAATAAATAATTCAACCATGTTTTGGATTGGTAGTTCTAAAAAAAATAATAATACATATGTTAATGGTAAGATCGTGTTTTATTTATAAGTCCTTTTTTTTTACTTTAGAATTTTTTTTTTACAAGATTAAGCCTTATATTAATTTTTAAAGAATTTTCAATCATATTTATTTTATACCTCAGTGTCCTCCCCCTTAAACCAATGTTGCTGAAAACCCCTAAGGAAACAGTAATTGAAATTAGACGGGGTAAGGAGTTACGAAGGCATTATTGTTATTTCAATAAAATTAGAGAGGGCAGTAAATAGGAGCAGTTTTAATTATGATTTCCCTTTTTTGTTGCGAACTCTGATTTGATAAGAGGACAGGAAGGTATTGACTTAAGGGGATATAGAGATCTCTAGGAGGAACGCTATAAATCAAGCATCTGCATCTACTCCCTCTGAGGCGACCCGGATATTGATTTCCATTTTAATTGATGTTATTAAAACTTGTTTTTTTAAACACTTTTGGTTGAATTTCAAAATTAAATTAAAATATTAATGTTTTCATTGTATTATATAACTATGACGTCAATAGTAGCTCCCCCCCCCCAATTCACATCCCGGCTAAGTATAGAAAAATACAGCATATTTTATATACTTCATCGCCAATTAGCTAACTGTGAATTTAGGATTAGATTGACAATTTATTCATTAAAAAATATTTAAAAAAATATATATGTCGTAGGGATACGGAATCTTTAAAGATACATTATCCTAAATCTTTTTTTTTCAGCATCTGTTAGAAAGAAATGAGGATTTAGAAACATAAAAGCGGGACTGCTCGCGTCAGTCATTTTTGATTCTATGAAAATCTTAAAAGTTTTTTAATCAATATTTCTTTAGTTATATTTAGATTTCTACTAGCCTTCAAATAATTCATTGTCTTTTTAATGAAAAACTACTTAGGTAACGTTTGAAGAAAGGATTTCTAGCTCTATAATAATCAAAAAGGTAATATAGTATAATTATCTGGCTCCATAAATGCTAGTCGAATGAAATATAATATTATACAAATTCAAAATTTGTAAAAAAAAATAGTTGATCGTAGTAACTACAAATAAATATTAAATGAAATTCTCACCATAATGTCTTACGAGTTTCAAAGGGGACTTGTGAAACTTTTATAATCAGCGGCATTTTCTCAATAATCGCAGATGAAAAACAAATTCTGATCATCCATTTATTGTAATCAAGGATATATTTACTTAGATATTCTAGACATTATTAAACGCATATGTCAATGCTATGATGAAATGGAAAGATATATGGTTTAAAAACATGTCTTCATACTGAAAAACAAAATTTAGAGCAATCTATGAACATTTTGCAGGAAGATTAATTTAATACTATAGTAAAAATTGGTGACTTTATAGTGAAACATTAATTATTTTTTATTTGAGATTCTCCTAAACTCATTTAAAATTTTCGTTACATCCAAGATTAAAATGGTAGGTCAATTTTTAAGGGCACTTTGCCTTACGCATTCGGGTAACGAATAATATCGCTAAAATCAAGAGAAAGAAATTATGAAATAATAATCAATAAAAATCATAAAATATTTATTAGAAATTATAAATACTTCGCAGTGAGGTTGCTACAAGAGCATAATATTCATTACACAAAATAAAAATTATTTATTTCTTAAAAGAACGATATCATTATTTGAGTAGGTAAAAGTTGAAATGTTGAAATCCAAAATTTTTCATTATATTTTTAAAATGCTAAATATAAAATAGAAATCTTGATAAAAATTATTGATAAAACAAGACAAGGAGAATGTTTCAAAATTTTTGAAGAGAAGTTAATTAGAAGCCATAGAAATTAAATTTAGAGGACCCCATTTTAAAGATAACGAAAAAATGCCTTTAAGATTCGAGGGAGGCTAGAATTTATCTTACCATTTTGGGTCAGTTAATGAATATTATTAACAAATTTATTATAAAATTTTTGATCATATAATTCTTTAGAGGATATCGTAACCATATTAAAAGCACAAAGTAAGAAGGAAATTATTTCGATTTTTTCAGAGTATGTAAAATTTATTAAAATGCTATCAACAATTCTCGCAAATACTTGTTCTGCAAGACCAACGTTTTCAAATATAACATGTCTCTTAAATCTTATTAACGTTCTACGGTGAAACAGCCATGCCTAAATCATATCGCAATTTTAAAAGTTAATAAAGAAGAAGTAAAAGAACTTGATTTAGATGTGATAAAACTTATATTATATCATTCACAAAATATCAAAATTACAAGCCTTTATTCTATTTTTTTTCTACAATTAAAATTAAAATTTTCCTTCAAGTTTTAAAAATATCTTTGAAAAGAGTTTCAGCTCCTTAGATATTATAACAAGTCTCCTCCTCTGCCCAATAAATTAATGGATAAATAATTTCTTGTTACAAATATCTCACCTACTTCTCCCAAAGTTTTAGAGGTGCTGAGAAGAAAATCTCCCAAAAACGTCAAATATTTTATTGCTATTATAACCTTGATTATTAAACATTTTGAAAAATATTTTTCCCCACCCTTACTCTGTTTTATACTTTTGCCGTATAGGTTAATTAACATTCCAGTTAGAGTTTTCCACATCATATCATACCAAACATAAACCTAGTGATAATATCGTTTTTGAATCTCAACAAGCCATTGAGTCTATATCAAAACATCATCTGGCAGTAATGGCATTAAAGCAATTTTCCTCCATGATAGTATTAACATAAATTATCTAATATTAATTTTTTGTATCACATAATTTTAAATCTGCTGCTAGAAGTTCCAATCCTTAAACCTATCATTCCTTTAATCTTTGGGGCTCAGTTAATTCCTAAAAAAATATGGTGGGATTGCATTGCTGTTGATTCATCATTTCCGTTTTCTAAAATCATAGTCAGGCATTTAAAATCAGCAACATCATCCCCATTTTAATCAATTAGGGTTTGATATGAATAGAGGAGCAGAGGCTGCAATGCAAGGCGACCTGAATGTTGCTAGCTACTGCAGATCCAAGTTTATTTTTCCTTAAAATTGATCTTAATAATGCTTTTATTAACTTTTAAAAATAAATTATTCACATATTCTGCAAAGCTGCTCCCAGCCTATCTATTTAAAATTACCTGACAAAATTAATCTTTCTTGTGATGATATACAACAAGGTAACCCATTGAATCCACCGCTAGCTATTAATAATCTTATACCCCTTACAGGTTTATCTCATAACATGTCAAAGTCGTAATTTTCTTCCACCAATTCAATTATATCAATCCTCTCTTTTAAATGGTATTCCATCTAGGAACCTACTTATCTTGGTTCTCCAATTAGTAGTGCGAGCAACGTCTACATGACAAGATGTTTACTGAATGCAACCCTCAAAACTCTATGTCTACCCCCCTAAAAATGCGTTCCCGTTACTAATTACATGTTTTTAATTATACTGATATTCATTTCATAAATTTTAAAAAGAATAACATAAATTATAACTATCGAAATATTGCAAATATAAAAGAGTTATTATTTAAAACATGAATTCAATTAAAAACCACCTCTTTTACAATAAATGCATTATTAGAGCATATTGTTTGATAATATGAGCTGAGTGTCTCAAAAATGAACTACGAAAACGAAACAAAGAAAACTTACCCCCAATCAAATATATATATAAAAAAAAACTCCCTAACTTACAGAAAGACCTTCTTACTAACTCTTAGACTTGGTAAAATTTCCACAACAGATGATTACAAACGGTTTTTATTTAAAAGATTCAAATTATTTAAAATCATAAAAATCATTTTTTTATTTGAAAAAAGAATTTATCATCGTATAAAAAAATAATGATATGTAAAAAAAATATATATCAAAAATCAAAGTTTTAATGATTGACATTTTTTTAATATACATAAAAAAAATGTTATAATTTACAACACCGAGAATGTCTAACCTTTTAAAATAAAAAAGAGAGCAAAATTTTTATTTCGAAAATAATGTCTATGATTATTTGCAACACATATTTTTGGTCGATAAAAAACAAATCATTGTATTATAATGGTCTATAATAAAATGATTAATTTTTACAGCAATATATTTTGTCCTATTTCATTTAAAAATTTAATAGAAAACCCCCCAATAAATTTATACTACCCCTTTTAAATGCGCCTACCTAACCCTTCCCCTTTATAAAAATTCCGTGCAAACTGTTGCTACACCCCCCCTTCCCTCCGTTCATGTAGATGCTGCCTGGGACAGCAATTAAGATCTTTTTAGGAAAAACATATTCTAAATCGAGTAGAAATACAACTAATTTTAAATGAATTATTAATATACTATGAGATTTGCTCCAATTTTTTATTACAACTACAAGATCGTCCAAGCCTGAGTTGCATATCCTCATGCTTATAAAATTTTCAGATAAATCGTGGCTCCAAGCCTATCTTCCATGCAAACATGGCTGAACTGCTATATTACATTAAATTTATTGAAGGCAAACTCCTTCTTAAATCGATCACTACCCTTTTCAAAAAATTTCGCTTTGCTTAAAAATATTTTTTTTTATTACCTAACACCTTTTGTATATATAATCTTCCTACGACAAAAATTTTTTTTAAAGGTTTTTCTTTCATTTCACGTTTTTATGACATTTCAAAATAATTCAACCCATGAAAGGAGAGTTCGACAGATCTATGGTATATCTATTTTACGAATATCTTATCTTAAAAGCTTTAATTCCTTTTAATTTACAAAATAATTTATGTTTAGTAGTTATTAGTTTTATATGTAAATCTAAATAGCTTATTTAATCAATACATTATCATTTTGAAAACATTTATTTTAGATAGTTTGGATAGTGGTAATCCAAAGAAAGCGATTCAAGAGGCAGATAAATTATTAAAAAAACAAAAAGACGCATTAGATGCTAAGGTTATATTATAAATTATTTTAATTTAAAGTTTTAATATTACAATGTCTATTCTATTCGTTAATATAAATATATATATTTTTTAAAGAATTTATATGAAATTAAACCTTTTTATTATTTACACCATTTAATAATTTAGATATCTAATTTTTAATTAGGAAAAATTGCAAAAATAATTTATTAATATATTTATAATCTATAATCATACCTTTATTTTGTATGAATTTTGATGCACAATAGGCACTCAAGGCTTTAGCTTACATTAGATTGTGCAAATTCAAGGAGTGCACAGAAATCCTAAATGAGCTTGAAGCTGATAAACCCACAGAAGACTCCACTCTTCATGCATTAAGTCTATGTTTCAGGGAACTTAATAAACGTATTGCTTACTGCATATATTTTTTTAAAATAATTGTTTAAAATTGAATTAAATTAGGTTTGATTCCATATTTTCTAATCATAATAATTGTAAGGTTTTGGAAATATACCTTTCTAACACATTTTATTATACATCCAATCTTCGATAAATTTAATGAAAATTATATTTTACATCAAATTTTTATTGATGTAATTTTTTATTCTTTTTAGTTCATTCCAATTAAATGTCTTCAAAACTTAACCCCGTCCAAAAATCCAATAGGTCAGGAAATGGAGATTATTTTTTATTTTGGTTTGGGGCATATCTGGAAATGATTTTTTGTTTGGAAATTTTGAATTAATCAGTGATAACAATACAAAATGGTCCAATTTTATATTATTTTTTAATTTTAGATTATTTTCTTATAACATACCAAAGACCTGCAAAGGTGCCAATTGCATTGCCAACCCACATTTGTCAAAAAAATTTTGGCTAGACCTGGATGTTTTTAAAAATAAAATTTTCAACCCAGTCTGTTGGGTTATGATAATATAGGAAATATGGGAAGTGAATGAATGTGATGCATTATTCAATTGTACAACAATTTTAAAATATATTTTATTTAATCTATTTATTAATAATATACAATAATCATGATTTAAGCCTGCCCTAAATTTATAGGGAAAATTTTTTTTAAAGGGTTTATTCAAAAATTTTACAGCCTAGGCCAGACCAGGTCTATAGGTTTCTACAATATACTCAAAAAATAAGTAAAAAATTTTTTAATATTTTGATTTTTTGATCTTGTTAGGCTGTGAATATAAAATTAATTTGTTCTAGTTATGATAGGTGGGAATTAAAATTTTTGGGATCATGGGAAAAAAGGCTTTTCTTTTCATGGGCTGGGTAGGGTCAAAATTTTTTTGACACCTTTAGATCCCTAATCCCAATTCTAATATCTTGACTCACAATATTTTCTAATTAATTTTCCCCTAGAAATTCATTTGATTGACTACTTTTATTTAAAATTTATTGCATTTTATTTATTTTTTAAATAATTTCATAGAAGGTTATTTATGAACAAAAATGGATAAAAATAATATTACAAAAAAGGGTTAATTTTTATTGATTTAAATCTGACATTTTACTGTAAATAAAAAAAATAATTTTTATTATAAAGCCCCTATTGCATTTAAAATTCAATTAATTACTTTTTTTTAAATATTAAATAATATGGATATGGCATATATTTATAGAAAGGATTATATTCATTCATTCAATACCATCAATCTAATTATTTTTTTGAAATCAAGAATAAAAAAATGTAAATACGAATAATAATACCTGGTAGAAACCATTAAAACAGAGTTGTAATTATGTTTAGACCAGTCAACACGCCACATACGAGACATTTTATTGATCGTCGTATTTATGAGAGGAAATATATATATATAATCATATATAAATAGATGCCTTTTCAACACAATTGGTGTTTACGTATCAATGCCAATTGATGACCAAAACGTACAATATAAATCAATAGGTTAAGCCGCAAATTTGGCTTCCAGTTTTGGAGATCTTATTCTGCATCATGAAATTTAATACTTCAGAAGTGGATCACTCGTAATCAAATCTAGTAAAAAAAACAATCAATTACCAGTTTTATTATTCTACATCAATGCTGCTAATATGCATGCAGAAATTCGTTAAATAATTGATGGCTTCTAGGTCTTTTAAAAAGAAAAAAAAACATTATTACTTAATGGCTATTCAGTTCATCTCCAAGATTAAGTGTTGTTAAACAGCTGAATTTTTCATTAAACCGCTAACCCAATATTTTAGCCTCCAAAAAAATATTATGAACGTCGTGATTTCCTTAATAGATGTCCTAAACATTTCTTACTATCTATGAGCAAATCTCCATGGTTGTGTAATTTTTTTTGGCTAAAATATTGGGTTTACCGTTTTTAATGAAAAAAAATTTAGACCTTCGATAACACTATCGAGAAGTCTTAGAAGATTAAAAATATTGATTAGAATTGTTTCCGATCCACAAATTATATTTTTCTCCCGATCCAATTAACCAATATTGATTAGCGGATATCGGATCGAGTGAATAACGGATCGAGCGGATTTGCGCAGCTCGAAATATGGGGGAACAAATGTTTCGGTATTTTTTTTAAAGATAATCATTTGTCAAATGCTCAGCCTCAAATGTGTTGCAAAAAATTTTTGGTTCAACTTATCACTCGTTTTTTTTGAATAATGAAAGAGGACAGAGGAAAATATCTTATATATGATAAGTTTTCTTGGATATACACCTTTTCCAATGCTATAACTGATTTAGCTTTAAATGTTTCAAAACAAAATTTCTTTCTTTCTTTTTTTTACTTCCTTCCTTCCTTTAGGGCTGTGCCGATATTTTATTTTTTTTAGAAAATATATTTTTTAAAAAAGCCGATTCGATACTTTTTCGTTACTTTATGATTGTATATATAGTTATTATTTATTTTATACATAAGATTCAAATTATTTGTAATGTTTTTAAAAAATCTAATTATTTTAAAAGATAGAGTAGCTAAAAAAAATTTATATTATCTGTAATTTCAACAAGAAAAGGATATCATAATCTCAAGATTTTAGTCAAAAGTAAATTATCCAAGCTTGGAAATTCTGCCTAAGAGATGACAAAAAGGTCTGAACAATCTATTGGCAAGATTTTGAGGCCTTATGAAACAATGGTTTAGCTAAATCGAGCCGTTGAACAACGAATACATTCAACCATAAACACTGACCATTACTCTAAATCATTCGAAGTTGGTCGGTTTTTTTTAATGAATTTTTTTTTTTATGACTTTGGTTCAAATATTTTTTTTTCCTTCTCTTTAGCTTTCACCTTTTCTGGTGGTAAGCTCCTTCAACATCTCTCTCCACTTTATGTTATTAATACAATCTCTTTTATCTAATTTATACTTCTTTATATTGGCTCTAACTTTATGGCCCCATTGAAGTTTTGGCCTTCCTCTTTTACGTTTGCCCATCACTTCCAAACTCTTAACTTTATTTCCTATGTAGTTCATAGGCCTTCTCATTGTGTGCCCATACCACCTAAGTCTGTTTACCATTAACTTAGTCTTAATAGGCACTACCTTTAAACTACTTAGTATTCTTGTACTGCGCACTTTATCCTTTCTTGTTACCCCAGCAATCATCCTCAGCATTCTCATTTCCATGGTTTGTAGACTTCTCTCGTCTGATTCTTTGGTTGGCCATGTTTCCGAACTGTATAGAATAGTTGGTGTACTATGGAACTGTAAATTTTTCCCTTTAATTTGTGTGGGATTCTTTTATCAAATAGCACTCCAGATAAAGATCTCCACTTTAGCCACCCTTGATTAATCTTACTCTTTATCTCTTTTTCTATTGTGCCGTTTGTTTGTATAGTGGAGCCCAAATATTTGCAGCTTTCAATTGCCGATATCTGCCATTCATTTATATCAATACTCTCTGTTCCATCTCCTCCTATGACCATATACTCCGTCTTTTCTCTATTTACTTTTAATCCGTGCGTTTCTATTTATCCAACTCACTAGTCTTTCTTTCATTTCATCCTTAGATTCAGCAATTATCACAATATCATCTGCAAATATCATATTCTACGGGACTGTTTGAGGTATAGACTGTGCTAATACATCTATTACTGAAATGAAGAGAAGTGGGCTGAGAGCCGACCCTTGATGAACTCCTTTGGCTATTGTGAAACCTGCTGAAGTACCTGTTGTGCTACGGACCATTGTTGTATGGCCCATATAATATCCTGTATTATTCTTATATATTTTTCGGGAACATTTTTGTGGCATAGCGTCCACCAGACAAGTTTTCTTGGGATTCTATCAAAGACCTTTTCTAGATCGAGAAAGATCATGTGTAACTTTTTGTTCTTTTCCCTGTATTTTTCACTCATTTGCCTAATTGCGTGGATAGCATCGGTTGTTGATCTTCCAGGCATAAAGCCAAACCGAGTCTCTCCTATTTCGATTATATCTCTAATCTTTTTTCAATTATTTTTTCGTATAGTTTTAGACAGTGTGACATTAGTTTTATGCCCCTGTAATTTTGACAATTATGTGGATCCCCTTTATTTTTGAAGATAGGAACTAGATAGCTCTGCTTCCATTTTTGGGGAACCTCTTCTTTCCAAGTATCTTATTGTATAGATTTGTGAGGAGATGTATTCCATCATCTCCTAGTGCCCTAAGGCTTTCTATTGGAATATCGTCTGGACCCCTAGCTTTGTTATTTTTCATATGCTTGAGGCATGTGATTATTTCTTGTTGTGTTATAGGTTGTACAAGGTTTTGACAAGGGGAGTGTTCGTCTAGATGCAGTATGTGCAGATTAAAGTTGAGAAGCTCCTGAAAATATTCTCTCCATCTACTCATTATTTCTTTTTCCTTTATTATCAATTTCCCATCTTTATTTTTGATTACTTTCGGAGCTCCGTTTATATCCCTAGAGTTCTTTTCTCGCTGTTTGGCTAATCTGTATATTTTATTTTGCCCTTCTTTGGTATGTAGATCTTCGTACATGTCATCGTATGCCATAGATTTGGCTCTAGCCACCGCCTTTGTATCTAATCTCTTGGATTTTTTGTATCTTGTCTTGTCATCTGCGTTTTTGGATTTGTACCATATTTTATAAAGGGCTTTCTTCTCCTGTATAGTGGTTTGTACCTCTTCATTCCACCACCATAGTTCTTTGTATGGTTTGTTGCCTCCTCTTGTCAAGCCTAGTGTCGATTTGGCATTGTCTATTAATCTGGATGAAAGGTCTGTCCACATTTTTTCACTGACTTGTTAGGAATCTATTGTTTCAATGTTTGCATTGATTGCAAAGGCACCTGTCATTGTTTTTAATTTGTCCCATTTGATGCATGGTTCCAGTTTTATCTTGTTTTGAGTGGATTTATTTGAGATGTGTAAATCCATGACTAGTAGCTTGTGTTGTGCGGCGATATCTTC